CAAGTGCTGACCCCTCCCCACACGGTGGAACCATTTTCACATGCTGCTTGGTTCCTGTTATTTTCCTAAAAGCTTTTTTAATGATTCTTCCTGCAGTGCCCCAGTGAACTCTTTGGTAAATCATTTTCCTTGCCCTACCTCTTTAAACAAAACAGAAAATTGCAAGGTTATTTTAAACAATGAGGAATCCTCCTTAGAGATCTATTCTTCTATTGACTTTTGGACAGAGAAAAGAAAACATCAACTCAAGAGATGGACTTACTTTGTTATATTTTAAAAGCATTCTCTAACATTTATTAACAAAGGCAAGCAAACTGCTTATGTTCTCAGACAATCCACACTCAGGAGAGACAATCACAACAGGGGCCTGGTACGAAATCAAGAAAGCATGGAGCTGAGGAAGTGTGAATTCAGGGAGATGACACCCAGAGGAGCCAGAGTTGGGACACATTCTGGAATTATCCTCTGCCTGCTGTGACTTTGAGCATTTCCTCTTTCAGAAAATAAACGTAAGAACACCTACTTGTGGAATTACTATGGACTATGAAATTAGGCCAGGGTCTGGAACCTCCTGTATGCTTAGGAGATACATTTGCATGGCTTATGGCAGGGTTAAGAGGGGAGGGGTGCTCAGTAAATGTTTGTAGAATGAATGGGCAGCACATGCTGGCTGTGGTGGATGGTCTTCCCCACCCACCAGTGTGGGTCACCACCTGGCCAGGGCCCCAGCACATACAGGCAGGCATCCGGTTGGAACAGCTGAGCTGACTTGGCCAAGATGTCAGTGTTGCTAAGATGTGTCCCTCTTAAAATGGGAGCCTATTGTTTTATAGCAATCAGAAGAATTATGTTGTTTGAAGAATGTTTAAAATGTTTATAAGATAAGGAAAACTAACAATAGCTAGCAATTCTCAAGCACTTAACTGTCTATGTGCCAGGTTTCTTGAACATGAGTCCCTATGGCAATGCTATACAGTTGATACTGCTCTTGGGCCCATTTTGCAAAGAAGGAAAGTGAGGTGTAGAGAGATGGGACAGCTTGTCCTCTGTCACACAGTTCCTCAGTGGTCAGAGATGGGCCCAGAACATTTGATTTCAAAGTCCACAATGCCAAAAGGTCTAATGTTTCTAGCATAGCTACCATCTCATCCTCCCTTCAGTGAAATCTAGAGTTTGGGCACCAGGTACGGGTAGGCACATTCAGCCCAAGTGCACAAAGGTCATTATGTCTCTGTTTCAGGACTGTCTCAGATGAGCAGGAAGCTCTAAGGAGCATTGTTTTCCTTTCCAGTATTCCTTGGGGGGAAGGAACCCCTAGTTTGGGATTAGTTGGGCCCTCAGCATACGATTCAGAAAGAAAAATATCCCCCATCCAAAACCTCCACATGTAATGTCCAACTGAGAAAGGACAGGCAGGATCTATGAGGACTGAGAAAATGCACTTTTGTGAATTTTAAATATGAGACTCAGCTCAATCTAAGCCAGTTCCTTCTCTGTCCTTTTTTACTACCTGCTCCCCACCCTCTTTCATTTGTTTCAACATATTTATTCAGCTGCTGAGCCTATAAAGAGGGATGTTTCCTACACACTCAAACAACCCTTGAGGACCTATGGAGTTTCTGTTTGCTGCCTTAGCAGGAATAGAGAAAATACAGTAGTTTCCCTCACCCCTTATTTTCAGGGATTACCAAGACCCTTGGTAGATCTTTGAAACCATAGGTACTGAATCCTATACATGGTGTGATTGAAAATTATGGTGAATGTTTAAATTTTAAAAATATTATAGCAAAAGACACATTGCCATTAATGCCCCTCAAAATACTCCCCCTCATTTTGATCACATTTATCCCATCATTCTTGCCACTTTCTGAAGCAGTTTTGAAAGCTCTCTTTGGTGATATCCTGAATTGTGCTGTTGCAGCTGCCTCTATGTCTTGAATCCATTCAAAACACTTACTTTTCATGGACATTTTGACTCTGGGGAAGAGACAGAAATCACTTGGTGCCTGAACCAGTGAATAAGCTGGTTGAGGACACACTAATGTTTTTACAAACCTGCCTTTCCCTTGGATGGCACTCAGCAGCAACATTCAAGTTATTTTTGAAGATATTTAGGAGGAATTGATAGCAATATGTAAATGTAAAGAGGGATTAATGGCAATGCGTCTTTTTATTGTAATAAATGATTTTAAAATATTCACCATTTATTTTGATCACACCTCATATATGCTTTTTCCTTTATATACATCCCTGTGATAAAGTTTAATATATTAACCAAGCACGTAAGTGAATCGTGATGCATTAATAATAAAATAGAACAATTATAACAATATACTGTAATAAAACTATTTAAAGCAGGAATTTTTTTATTTCTGCAATTCTCCATTTAATATTACCAGACCTTGGTTGTTCAGGAGTAACCAAAACGGCTGGTAACTCAAACTGTAGGAAGTAAGACTTTGGGAGAGAACACTGTACACTGTAACTCAGAGACTAACATGGCGGGGAGTTGCAGACAGGTCAGAGAGAAGTCAGGGAAAAGGAAGAGCCAGAAAGCAGCATCCTACTTTTTTCATTACAAGATCCCCCCATCCCACTTGTACTGATTTCAATCAACAGGGTTCCTGCAGGTAACTACCCTGGTCCCAACCTTCTGTAGCATACTTCCCAGCATTTACTCCCAGTGGCTTTGCCTAAATCCCTCACCAAATGTACTTAAAACCAAGCAGGTGTTTCTTCACTGAAATGAAAAGAATCTGTGTGGCCCCCAGCAGCACAGATCTCCTTAGAAGCACCCTGGAGTATAACTCTGGCCATCCCAGAAAGGCTGTGGAGGGCTCTGACTGCGCACTACCAGGGGTAGAGTACAGGGCAGCCAAGACACGGAAGGAAAGTCTCCACTCTATGCAAAGGCTTTCTTGCTCAATCACCAGGGTCCCCGTTAACACACAGTTGGAGTCACGGTTTTGTCTGGGAGGAGGCCCGTTAAGGAGGTGTATGTCCAAAACTAACAGAGAGGGTACAAAATACACATATGGAAATTTAAGACACTCTTAGGATATGTTGTATTAATTCTTTAATTCTTCCACCTCATTTTTTCTTTAAGAATGAGAAATCTCTCAAGCTCTGTGAAAGATGTAGAGATATCATAACAGAGAAAGAATAACTAAAAGCAAACAAACACCGAAGGCAGAATCCTAGTCCAGACTACTGGTTTGAAGTTAGGCCTGGGCTTCCATTTATTCTAGAAACATCTACAAGCCTCTTGTACGGGGCCCACTTTGTCACCCAGGTGTGTCTGAATTAAGGACAGTCTGCTGGGTGAGCTAGATTCTTAGGTCTCTGAAGGCCACCAGTACCCTCTAGCTCAGCTAATCTTGGCTCTCCTGGCCCCTCTGAGGTGGCATGGCCACAGGTTTACACATTGTTTGATCAAGTGCCACAGGCCTGATACAGTTTCTTCTTGTTAGTCATTCAAAGCCATAACCAAACAAGCACCTCCAAAATGTACACACAAGAAATAAACAATTAGAAACAGACTTTCAGGTTTGATTTATGTTAAGTTAAAAAAAAAAATGCTTGTTAAGGATGCAGCCTCCATCCATCCTACCCCCAAATAAAAGGCCTGTGTGTGATAGGTCTGGGGAAGTCCTTAGCGAAGCCCCCCTCTGTGTGCAGCCCTGGAGGGTCACACACCCAGAGCATCCCTAGTCTGACTGTGTTGTCTCCACCATGAGGCTTCCCAGGTGACCTCTCTGCCCAGCTCCCTGATCACCACAACCTTTCTTTGGGACTGCAGTTCTTGTTTTCATCCAGCCTGCTCTGGGTGCCCCACTTCCCTGCCTAGGACCTGGGATGAGAGTTTGTGGCCCAGACCAGAAAAAAACCCAATAACCCAAGTGGGAAAAGAGAGAGAGAGGTGAGAACCCAGCCTCTGGCAGACCCTTCTGAAGGCTGAGCCAGGAGCCAGGACTTGCACCACGCACGGACCTCATCCTTTCCCTCTCCACAAGGTGCAGGAGCGAACCCACTGGGTAGACAGCCAGACCTGCTGGCCTCTGTCCTCCACAGCATCTGTCAGGTAGATCTCCATGAGCTAACAAACCCTGCAGCTGCGGGGCGGGCCGCAATGTGAACAGACCTGCACCGGGAATCCCTGACTGGACTGCGGGACTCCAAGTGACCCAAGCCAGTGAAGCACCGTGGAGAGAATATTTCTTAGAACATGGGTCCTTCCACGGACCTAGTGACAACTGTGGTCCCACTGACCAAAACAAAGGCTTTGGCCCAGCCCCTGGAAGTACATAACAACAGTTCAGGGGTCTGGGAAACCTGAAAATCCCTTGTCCAAGGCTCCCTGGGTAAGATCCCATAGTCTAATCTTCCCTTGCAGTCTTGCAGTTGGAAAAGCAGGATCCCGGAGGGGAGAGGAAGTTTCTAGCCTGTTAAAGACGGTATTGATCTGGGTCCCCTGAGTCTCCCATACCCCTTCTCTAGGCCACCTGCAAATTCCTTCGAAAGCCTTCAGGCTTTCAAAGAGCCATCCTAACCCTTCCTGAACCCAACTCCTCCTGGATCTAAGGATGAGCTACTCTGGAGCAGTTCCTGTTCTGTGTGCCTCAGCTTCTTTATCTGTAAAGTGGATGTGACAATAACAGCAGAGTAACACCGGCAAGAAAGCAGAATTCAATACAAAGCCATTAGTTATCTCTCACTCCCACAGAAGTTCTATTGGCTCCTACCCTCCCCGTTATTAAACGCATAATCGTCACTGCACTTTGCAAGAATTTGGGGGACTCTTCTTACAGCGTTTGGGAGGCGGTTTAGGTACCTACACCACAGGGTTGTCATTGAAATTTAAGAAATGAAACTTCACTGCGCTTGGGTACAGAGTCTGACACAACAGTTAATTGCAGCAAATGGCTTATCGCTGTTGTTAAGCATTATCCTCCCAACTCACCGCCTCCATCAGAATCTGCCCGGCCATAGCGGGAGCTCACCTGGTCGGCGCAGGGGAACCGCTGCGGGACAGCGTGGAAGAAGATGCAGAGGGGCAGCGAGGTGACCGCAGAGTAGCCCCAGATGAAAGCCAGCAGCGCCGCCTGAGCTCGCGGCCCCGGACCGCGCACGCCGCGCTGCAGGCGCACGATGCACACCATGCGCTCCAGGCTGACCGCAGCCAGCGTGAGGATGGTGACGCTGCCGCTCAGGGTCATCATGTAGAAGAGCAGGTGGCAGGCGACGGGGCCCAGCAGCCAGGCCTCGGTCCAGCGCACGACTAGCACCAGCGGGATGGCACTGGTGAAGAGCAGGTCCGCGCAGAAGAGGTTGAGCACCAGGCTAGCCGTGGCGCCGCGACGCCGTCGGCGCGCCACCAGCACCAGGGAGCTCACGTTGCCCAGCAGCGACACCACAAAGATGAACGCCAGCGCAGTGGTCTCCACGGTGCTCAGCAGCACCCGGTGGTCGCTCTTGACGTCGGAGAAGAAGGGAAAGCGCGTGCGGTTGGCTTGCTCCAGGCTGCGCAGGGAGCTGGTGCTCGCCGTCTGCGCGCACTCGGGGGACATGCCGGGCGCAGGACCGCCAGCACCGGTCTGCGAGCGCGCTCATCTGGGAGGTGACAGAGTGCCAAGGCGGGGAAAGAGGAGGGAGGTGGTTGCGACATCTCCCCTCTGGCCCTCCTCCTGCCAGAGGAGAGCCGGGGCTGGGCACAGGGAGATGCGTCTGGAGCGTGGCGGAACGAGGCAGTGGCGGGCAACGCGGGTGGCAAACACCCTGACTGGGCTGGGAGGCGGCGGAAGCCTCGAGCGTTTGGACAGTTTGAGAGCTCCCAAGGGGCCGCAAAGCCCCACCTAGAGAATCTCCTGAAACTATCCCCGGGGTGGGAGTGGGGGGGCTCCCCAGCTTTCTCTATCTTCCAGGGACACCGGGTGTGTGAAGCCCCTTTATCCATTAATTTAGTTAAAATTGATTGAAGTGTTAAAGCTGAACTTTGAGGATTGTTTTGGCCTTTGTCATTCAGACTTCATTAAGAAAGCCCCACAGGTTGGGGGTAAATCCCAGAGTAACTTGTAATGGCCCACATTTATTGGGGGGAAGGGGGTATCATTACTTAGAAACATGTAACTTTGGGTGGATTAATCTCTCTCTGTGCTCCAGGACTTTTGTCTCTAAAATAGAAATAATAATACTACCTCACTGATTATAAGATCACAAAGAAAGTTTAGTACAACACTCAGCACATAGTAATTATTCATTAAATGTTAACCAAGTACTAGCTACTATAGTTAAAATGCTTGTAAATTTTGCATTAAGAACAATAGAAAGTGTCTTGTTGTAGAAAGGATGGCCCTTCAAATTTTTTGATACACACCCAGTATGTGGAGCACTGGGCAAATGAGCCCTATTACAGAAGAGGACACTGAGGTGCAGCAAGAGTGACTCGTCTAAGGTGGCCCAGGTTAGCAATACAAGCCATGTCACCTGCTTCTGCCCCACATGCTTCTGCCACACCACTGCTGTCTGGTTTTCTGTTCTAGGAAATGTGGAAGGGAGAAAATGAAAAGTGTGCTGTAACCCAAGATCCAGCAACCACTTCCCCTCCCAGAACCCTCCCACGGCCCTCACCTCTCTCCCCTTTGCCATACTCCCACTTGCCCATTCTGTCTCCTTATTGTCTCTGAGAATTTATGAGGGGTTGGGTGTGCCAATCTGGGGTGCTGGCCAGGAGGGAGGGTGTGATACATTAGTGTGTATGCTTAACACTGTGTCATATGGGTCTGAATAGACAATGTGAGCAGAATATATGTTACTGGAGAGATGCTCAGATTAAACCTTGACTAGGCTCAAAGTTGACTAGGCTTAAACAAACCTTAACTGTTGGTTTCCTAAACACCAGGAAACTTGGTTTCCTAACAAGGGGCAAAAGATATAAAAAAGACAAACAGGATTTCTGGCAACTGTCTGACTGAGGTGAAGGAATGTTTGGGTTTTGTTTTTTTCGTTTTTGTTTTTTTGGAAAAGTAGAGCTGTAGGAGGAGAGAGAAAGGGAGAGAGGGGGAAGGAAGGAGGGAGAGAAAGCAAGAGGGAGGGAGGAAGACAGACAGATGGACAGACAGAGAGGAAGCGCTTCTACTATCACAGGCTGATGTGACAGTAACAGAAACAACTAGGGTAGTATGACTGGACTAGAAGGCCTTCTCTATCGTTACCCTCCAGGGTTCTACCAGTGGCAAAATAACGTGTGCAGAGACTCCTACACTTTTTGTATTCACATCACTTTCTTGATGGCCCTAGGCCAAATGGATTACATGACAGTTTCTCTTTTTAAGTGGCTGGATCCAAATGACTTAATAAGACTTATGTCACCATAGTAGCCATCTTGGAAAATAATACATATAAATTGGAAAACATGTGTTGATTTATTTATAAAACACAATGGTTCTGCATAGCTTTTCAAAACTGGAAGTCAGAGGTGGATACAAGGTCAACACTCAAAAATCAATAGCTTCTCTTAGATAATAGACTCACTGAGAGAGAAATTAAGGAAACAATCCCTTTCACAGTAGCATCCAAAAAAATGAAATATCTAGGAATCAGTTTAACAAAAGAAGCAAAAGACCTCTACATTGAGAACTACAGCACTCTGAAAAAAGAGATCAAAGAGGATATAAGAAAATGGAGAGACATCCCCTGTTCCTGGGTAGGAAGAACCAATATAGTGAAAATGGCCATACTTCCAAAACTGCTATACAGATTTAATGCAATCCCGATTGAAATCCTAACAGCATATTTCACAGAACTAGAAAAAACAATCCAAGAGTTCACGCGGAACCAGAAGAGACCTAGAATAGCAAAAGCAATTCTAGGCAATAGAGACATGGCAGGGGGGTATCACAATCCCCAACTTGAAACTGTACTACAAAGCCACTGTGATAAAAACAGCATGGTACTGGCAAAGAAACAGACCCAAGGATCAGTGAAATAGATTAGAAGATGAAGAAACAACTCCAGACATACTCAGCTACCTCATCTTTGACAAAGGAGCCAACCATCCTCACTGGAGGAAAGATAGCCTCTTTAAATAAATGGTGTTGGAAAAACTGGATTTCAACCTGTCAAAGATTGAAATTAGACCCACACCTATCACCATGCACTAAACTAAGATCAAAGTGGATTAAAGATCTAAATATTAAAACAGAAACACTGAACTTGCTGGTAGATAAGTTAGGTAGAACTCTTGAAAACATTGGCATAGGAAAGGACTTTATGAACAAATCCTCAATAGCACGAGAATTAGCACAAAGAATCAACAACTGGGATCTCATGTTATTAAAAAGCTTCTGCACTGCAAGAGAAACCACCAACAGAGCTAAAAGACAACCTACAATGTGGGAAAAAATTTTTACCAGCTGCTCCTCAGACAAAGGTCTACTATCTAGAATATATAAAGAACTAAAAAAAATCAGAATCCCTAAATATAAAGACCCAGTTTAAAAATGGGCATCTGAAATGAACAGGCATTTCTCAGGCAAAGAAGTAAAAGCAGCAAATCAACATATGATAAAATGTTCAACATCGCTGGTCATCTGAGAAATGTAGATGAAAACAACTCTGAGATTCCACCTCACACCAGAAAGAATGGCTGCTATTAAGAAATCATCTAATAACAAATGCTGGCAGTGGTGTGGGGAGAAAGAAACCCTTCTCCATTGTTGGTGGGAGTGCAGACTGGTGCAACCACTGTGGAAATCAATATGCAGATATCTCAAACAACTAGGATTGGAAGTCCCATTTGACCCAGCTATTCCTCTATTGGGTATCTTCCCAAAAGAATTAAAAGAATCATACCACAGTGATATATGCTCATGCATATTTACAGTGGCACAGTTTGTCATAGCTAAAACTTGGAAACAGCCCAATTGTCCGTCAACTGGAGACTGGATAAAGAAGATGTGGGTTTTTTTTTTAATAAAAAGGAGTACTACTCAGCCATAAAGAATGAGAAACTGCAGACATTTGTAGCTAAGTGAATGCACATTGATTGAGGCTATACTCTTAAGTGAAATAAATAGGATACACATGTAAATACTGAATAGTTTCTCTGGTGTGAAAAACTAAATGTGTAAATAAGAATCAAAATGTATAATTAATATCGTGAAATAGGAAGAAAAGGTCTAAAGGAGTAGGTGAAGTGGGAGGGGTAGGGGGAAGGAAAGAAGAGAAAAAAAATATGAGAAAAGGAAAAACATGGAAACAAAGTCTTTGTAAATAGGGAATGATGGAGGGGGTGAAGGGAGGTTAGGGGAATGGGAAAAAAATAAGAACCAAGACACATGTAAAGGTACAAGATCCCAGTGCTGAATGTAACTGTATTGTATACCTAAAATGTACCAATAAGCTAAATGGAAAACACAACAAAACAAAACACTGGAAGTCACATTGGGCGCCACCATGCTCTTTTCCTGCTCCATCATAATTTTGTGTACTATCTACTTTTAATCACAATAATATATCCAAAATATAATCACAATAATATATCTAAAAATATGATGTCTTGACTCTAATGTTGAAACTGTGGATTGGCTAGAGCTAGTAGTCTGTGAGGAATCCAACAGATAATGAACAGTACTGTCTCCTTTGGGCACCTGAGCACATACGGTAGTGGTAGCTAAGAACATAGGTTTAGCTGGGATCAAAATCTTGGTTGTACAATTCACTTTGTGATCTTGGGGTTCTCTGTCTTCCCAATACGAAAAACAGATGATAACAGTACTACCTTATAGGGTTTAAGGGCTTAAATGAAGTTCCCACACATGGAGCACTTGGCAAAATAATCATTGAGTAGACGCTTAAGACACTGTGAGTCCAGCTGTGTTCAACGTTGTATATGCACTGACCACACATCCTAATTTGGTCATTAATTATTATTACCATGTGCCTTTGCCTCTTCCACTCTTAGAGACAAGGATCCACCAAGTATAAATATGGACTGTCTGGTTTCTGAGCTAAAGGGAAGTGCAGCATTGTGGGATGGTTTCTGTTCCTCTTTATTTTATATTTTCAACCAAACTGGGTCAAGGGGTGTCTAGGAGAGTCTTTTTTTGTGTATAATTTTCTTATTTTTCTCCTGGAAATTTTTTATATAAAAGTTTGTAAGAAATGCTTCCTGGCTCATTGCTTCCTTTCCAAACCTTTCTGTAAGAGATCTATCTGTGTGGTGCTCCCTCTTCTCTCTCTCTCTCTCTCTCTCTCTCTCTCTCTCTCTATCTCTCCTTGCAAAATCAGGATCTATTACAGAGTGTAATGCAAAGGCTATTCATCCTTAGGTAAAGATTTTAAGCCTATCTGCTCCCCACATCTTCTCCTCAAGGTGGGACCCAAGACCTCCAGGCCCCATTGCCCTGAGTATTCACAGCTGGGTAGACACTCTAGCCAGCCCACAGTGCCCAGAAGAGGGCCTTACACTCTGAAGAAGGTTCATCATGCCCCTGAGATTTGTTGTAGACAAGGTTCTAAGGGATTGTTATGGTTTAGATCTAGGGTGTTCCCCAAATGCCACATGTATTTAGAAGGTGAATGGATCATGGGAATGTGACCTAGAAGGGTCTGTCTCCCTCCCTGGCTCCTCCCTTTGCTCTCTGGCTCCTGGCTGCCATGATATGAACAACTTTCCTCTTCCAGACCCTTCCACCATGCCATTCTACCTTAGAACCAGACAAGTATGGTCTGAATCCTGTAAAGACGTGAGCCAAAATAAATCTCTCATCCTTTAAGTTGTGGGTGTCAAGTATTTCGCCCTAGCAATGAGAAAGTGACTAAAACAGTGGCATTTCAGACCAAGGGAAGAGCAATAGCAGAGGTGAGGA